AAAAAAAAAAGAGATATTATGAAAAAGTGCTATGCTAACTCCACTTGGCCGTTTTCCTTCCATTGCATCCATCCATCTTATCATGGCAGTCAGTACAAAGGAAAGGACCTTGCCAAGGAGTCGAGCTCATAGACAAGATGGAACCAGCGTGAACTGAATATATTCCTTCATTTGGAGTGAGGTCAGCCTGGCAATTGCACAAGTGAAAAGGCCGCATGTTTGACCGTTGGAATCACCGTTATCCAGCCTACAATTAAGTTGAAAAATAAGCTTCAAAGAGACAACAGATGGTAGATGGGGATAATAGACTCAGCTGTTGGAGCACATACACCAGGCAGAAGACTATGGATGATATTGATAAAATTGCTTGTAAATGAATCAAGAGAGAGAAGTAACAAAATTGGATAGAAAAATAGTAGGAAAACTCTCCCCTGATATTTATTTGGACCATCTATTGGGAATTAAGCCCAAATACTAATTATTGGAGCAATAAAAAGCAAACTGAAATAAGAAATATAGACTAGAAAACACAAAAATTTATAAAGTTACACATTTAATATGAGAACTACGTTCACTCGTTGCTTATTTTTACCATGTAGGAGAAAAAAGTGTACTACGGTTTTTCATGTTTCTCTGTTTCACAGAAAGGGTCCCCTAAATCTGTTTCGCAATTATATATGTGGCCTTCTCCATCACCACCGTTCCAAGGATGGTAAACATGTGGTAAAATATGTTGAGGCCAAGTCAACTGCATGGTTGAGGGAGGTGGACTGGTTCTTCCCTGTGCCGTTCATTGGTTAGAAGGCTCGCAAAACACCAAAGGAGCAACTTGCAGGGAGGAGGTCATGGTTGCCTCGGAATTCGAATGCTGTCCATAATCAAGATCGATATAAAAGAAATAAACTTCAAGCACATGAAAGACTAGATTGATCTCCTAGAAGAAAGAGGAGATCAAGCACAACGAATAAATGCTATGCAACACATTATCTTATTTAAGTACTATGTAATAACAATGACTAGACAAACGAAAGGTATATGTGTTCTCTTTAATTACTCTGGTTTTACACAAATGTGAAATTTGACATTGAGACGAGATTCAACATACAAATTGCTATAGCACCAACAACCAAGATAACTGCTTCTATACTCGGTCACTAGGAGCCTCCAATCACCACAGGATAGGATTCCAACTTCAAAATTACGCAGTATCGAATTCTTCATGAGCATCAGATGAAGAGAGTGATAACTCAAAAGTTGAAGGATTTACTGCTTCTCTTCGCTGTAAAATGAAGTTGGATTTAGGTGGGATTTGCAGAGATTCCATGTTCCCTTCTAACATTTCTACAACCCTGCTCATTGATGGTCTAGTTGTAGGATCAGTTTGTATGCACCATAAGCCAACTATTAACATTTTCCTTATCCTCAAATGTTCATTTGCATTCAAAATGATGTTCAGATCAAGTTCAGCATTCTGCTCAAGGTTCTTATATATCCAATCAGGAAAATAATTTTCACTTGAACGATCTACTCTGACTCCAATATT